CTTCCCTCCCTCCCTCCCTCCCTCCCTCCCTCCCTCCCTCTCTCTCTCTCTCTCTCTCTCTCTCTCTCTTTCTTTCTTTCTTTCTTTCTTTCTTTCTTTCTTTCTTTCTTTCTTTCTTTCCTTGTGGCCCGTTTTCTCTCTCCCTCCCTGCCCTGAAGTCGCTGGCCTAGATGGCTGGGATCTGTAGGGGATCTTGTCAACCTAATTGATTACCGCGCAGTTCGCCCTCTCCAGGACACGGGCAAGTGACACAGCGTGGAATGGAACAAATCTGAATGTATCGCGCCTTCCTGCTGGGTCAAGCAAGGGCTCCTTCCTCTGACAGTGATTTATATATTTGCTGCACCCCCTCCCTAGGAAATAATTCCCAGTGTGGGTCACTGGAGACCCCTGCCGGGAGGACCCCAACTGCACCATCAGAAGGCAGACTAAGCTCCAACAACTGATGCACTCAACTTAATGGTGCTTGAGTGTCTGCTGGAAGTGATTGGGGGGGGGATAATTAATTCCTCCCCCCCAGCAAACCAGAGAAATATCCCCCTGCATTTCTGTAAAATTACTGTCTTGCACATCTGATGGACTTTCAGCCCTTTCTGTAATTGGAACTTGTTCCTGTCGATGGACCATCCGGTTGTGACTTTGAACGGTCGCTAAACGAATTGCTCTAAGTCGAGGACTACCTGAACCACAAAAGTCTCCCTATTCCATTAATAGACACATCGACAATCACTTGACTGTGAGCCAGCCGTGTGCAGCAGCAGCCAAAGAAGCTAATGCAATCCTGGGTTGTATAAACAGAGGCATAGAATCAAGATCACGCGAGGTTATTAGTACCGCTTTACAAAAGCCGTAGTGAGGCCAGACTTGGAATGCTGCAGCCAATTTTGGTCCCCGTAGCACAAAAAAGAGGTTGAGAGTTTGGAAAAAAATCCAGAGAAGAGCAACTAAGATGATTCAAGGCCTGGGGACTAAAACATATGAAGAATGGCTGCAGGACTTGAATTTGGCTAGTCTAAAGAAAAAAAGAAATAGGGGAGACATGATAGCAGTGTTCCAGTATCTGAGGGGCTGCCACAAGGAAGAGGGGGGTCAATCTATTTATTTATTTTATTTATTTATGAGACTTATATACCGCTTTAAGTGCAAGCACTCTCTAAGCGGTGTACACCAGTAAGCAATGTATATATATATATTTACATTGCCCCCAACAATCTGGGTCCTCATTTTACCTACTCCAGAAGGATGGAAGGCTGAGTCCACCTTGAGCCGGTGAGATTTGAACCGCTGACCTGCTGAACACAGTCAGCTAAAGTGGCCTGCAGTACTGCACTCTAACTGCTGCGCCACTTCGGCTTTCTCCAAAGCACCAGAGGGAAGGACGAGAAACAACGGTTGGAAACTGACCAAAGAGAGAAGCAACTTGGAATTAAGGAGAAACTTCCTGACAGTGAGGACAATTAACCGGTGGAACAGCTTGCCACCAGAAATTGTGGGTGCTCCATCATTGGAGATTTTTAAAAAGAGACTGGACAGTCACTTGTCTGAGATGGCATAGGTTCTCCTGCTTGGGGGGGGGGGGGCTGGACTAGAAGATCTTCAAGCTTCTATTCTATTCCATTCCATTCCATATTTTCCATTTCATTTCATTCCATTCCATATTTTCTATTCTATTCCATTCCATTCCATATTTTCTATTCCATTCCATTCCATATTTTCTTTTCTCTTCTCTTCTATTCTCTTCTCTTCTATTCTATTCTATTCTATTCTAATTCTATTCCATTCTATTCTATTCTATATTTCTATTGTATTGTATTCTATTCTATTCTAATTCTAATTCTATTCCATTCATTCTTCTCTTCTCTTCTCTTCTCTTCTATTCCATTCCATTCCATTTCATTCTACAATCTCCCTATTCTAATATCTAACCAGCTTTGGAATCCTGCACAGCTGTCCTTCCCCACCTCCTGGCCTTGGCAAGTCATCTAGGCTAAGATTCCCGAGATCCCAGAACTCTGCAGACCGATGCGATACCCGGGAGTCCTCGACTTAACGTCCACAACTGAGTCCAAAATTTCTGTTGTTAAGTGAGACAGCTGTTAAGTGAGTTTTGTCCCGTTTTACGGCCCTCCTTGCCGCAGTCGCTAAACGAATCACTGCCGTTGTTCAGTTAGTAAGACGGTTGTTAAGTGAACCTGGCTTCTTCCCCCGTGGACTTTGCTCGTCGGAAGGTCGCAAAAGGGGATCCCATGACTCCGGTATGCTGCAAACCGTTGCAAGTACAAGTCACTTGCCAAGCCTCCGAATTTTGATCACGTGACCAGGGGGATGCTGCAACGGCCGTCAGTATGAAAAAAGGATCCTAAGACACTTTTTTCGCCCCCCTCTCGTCGTAACTTTGAACGGCCACTAAACGAATGTTTGTAACTCCAGGACTAGCTGTGCCAAGTCCCCGGATCTTTTCCAAACTCTTCGGTGTCCCAACTCGGCTGTTTTCCCATCAAACTCGCCCTCCGAGTGTCGTGATCCGCATTCAAAACGCCGGGGGGGGGGGAGGAGGGTGTCACTCAACCCAGAGATGCCTCCCCGATGCCTTTTAGCAGGCGGGCAAGAAGAATCAATGCCTGTCACTCACCGGTCCATCTGCAGGAACAGGATTATGGATCCGGGGCCTCTCGCCAGCACTTTAATCTTAAAATCAATGGGCAGACAGAACTTGGCTTAGGGAAAGGTAACAGGTGTATCTCTCTGTGTGTGTGTGGGGAGGGTCACTTTGAATTGAGGTTTTGAAACTTTAAACGCAGAGGGGGGGGGGTCTGATGTCCTTGTCTTTGTGATTGGAGGTGGGGAGGCAAATGGAGAAGGACACACACACCCCGGTCATAGCTGACCGAATTTCCACTCAAATGGACTGAAATTCAACAACATACTAAGCAAGTGGCCAAAGATTTTCCAGATAGTTAAGTACAGGTAAGTCCTTGACTTACAACCAGAATTGACCCCCCCCTCCCCAATTATCCGTTGCTAAGTCAGAGGGTTGTTCAGGGCGTTTTGCCCCATTTTACGACCTTTCTTGCCACCGTCGTTAAACGAATCCCTGCAGTCGTTAAGTGAGTCACATGGTTGTTAAGTGAATCTGACTCCCCCACCCCCGTGAACTTTAATCATCATCATCATCATCATCATCATAAAATGGAGAAAGTAGTAGACATAAAATAGAGAAAGTCATAGAAAATGATAAAATTAAACTGCTCTGGGACTTCAGAATTCAAACAGACAAGCACCTGCAACATAACACCCCAGACTTAACAATTGTCGATAAGAAAGACAAAAAAGTCTGGATAGTGGATGTGGCAGTGCCTGGAGAAAGCAGAATAGAAGAGAAAGAACTGGAGAAGATAACAAAATACAAAGACCTACAAATAGAAATAGAAAGACTGTGGCAAAAGCAAGCAAGGTAGTACCAATAGTCATAGGCTCCTTGGGTGCAATCCCAAAACAACTGGAGCACCACTTGAACACCATCATCGGCATTGACAAATTTGCTATTAGTCAATTGCAAAAGGCGGCCTTACTAGGAACTGCTTCCATCCTGCGACGATATCTGTAATACCATCAAAAATCCACATCTGCCTATCCCAGGTCCTGGGTAAGGACTCGATAGGTAGACAAAATGCCAAATCCAGTCTGAACATCTGGCTGACTGTGCGATGATCCAAAATAATAATAATAAGTTGGAAGGGACCTTGGAGGTCATCTAGTCCAACCCCCTGCTCAGGCAGGAAACCCTACACCGCTTCAGACAAAGGGCTGTCCAGTCTCTTCTGCTTGTCGTAAAAGGCGATCCCGTGAGCCGGGGACACTGCGACCGTCGTAAGTACGAGTCAGTTGCTAAGGGTGTCAATTCTGATCACCTGACCCCAGGGATGCTGCAACAGTCCTGAGTGGGAAAGACGGTCATGAGTCGGTTTTTCCAATGCTGCTGTAACTTTGAACGGTCACTAAACGAACTTTTATAAGTCGGGGACTACCTGGACCCCCCCTTCTTTCCTCTGAGCGTCTCTTCCTTCCCTGCCTCCCGTGTCAAACGATGAGAGAATAATATGCCTGTATTCTGATTGCAGGATCATGGGGGTGCTGGAACGGTCGTAAAGTCTGAAAAAATAAGTCACTATTTTCAGTGCCGTCGTAACGACTAATAGTCACTAAATGAATGGCTGTTAATCGAGGACTACCTGCATACAGTTTAGGACAGGGGTCTTCAACTCGGCCCTTTGATGACTTGTGGACTTCAACTCCCAGAATTCCTCAGCCACCATGGACCATATAAGCCAGGGGTCTTCAAACTTGACCTTTTGATGACTTGTGGACCTCAACTCCCAGAATTCCTCAGCCAGTCTCCATTTTGTTTGTTAGATTTAAGACAGGGGTCTTCAAACTTGACCTTTTGATGACTTGTGGACCTCAACTCCCAGAATTCCTCAGCCAGTCTCCATTTTGTTTGTTAGATTTAAGACAGGGCTCTTCAAACTTGGCCCTTTTGTGACTTGTGGACTTCAACTCCCAGAATTCCTCAGCCAGCCTCCCTTTTGTTTGTTAGATTTAAGACAGGGGTCTTCAAACTTGGCCCTTTGATGACTTGTGGTCTTCAACTCCCAGAATTCCTCAGCCAGCCTGCCTGGCTGAGGAATTCTGGGAGTTGAAGTCTACAAGTCATCAAAGGGTCAAGTTTGAAGACCCCTGGTTTAGGAGATTATGCCACCTCAGTGGGATTAATGTTAAGTTAGGGCTTTGCAACCCTCAACTGTGGATTGAGTCGTAATGAGATGTGGGCTGGTCATAACAATGAGACATGGTCCTCAACCGTTAAGAACAGCAACCGTTCTTTATATGTTTTAGCCTCCGGTCTACTTGTTTGCATGTTTCAACTTTGCTGGGAAATGACTTGAAGATGGCTTTTCTTCGCTCAGCCTCCCGGTGTGTTTTTTCCTTTTCGTCCCCAGAGTACAGTCATTGTGGAAAAAACGGTCCAGGATCTCATGAATTTGATGCGTGACTTAAGCGCCTACTCAGACCAGTTCCTGAACATGGTCTGCGTCAAGCTCCAGCAGTACAAGGACACCTGCAACGCGGCTTACAGGTATGGCTATGGAGTTTCTCCCTCATCCGGGTGATGGTTCTCCCAAAGATGTTTTTCTTCAAGAGGCAACTAGCCTTTCTTGGTTTTTTTTTTTCTCTTGAAGACGTCTCGCTCCTCATCCAAGGAGCTTCCTCGGTTCTGACGGAATGAGGTCATAGTTCCCTAGCTTCTTGGGCTGCTGTAAAGGAGACAGCGGGAGATTTGCACTTTCAGACTGACACCTTTCCGTTAATGTAGCTTTGCAGTGTTTCTCAACCTTGACCATTTTAAGGCATGTGGACTTCAACTCCCAGAATTCCACAGCCAGCAGTGCTGGCTGTGGAATTCTGGGAGTTGAAGTCCACATGCCTTAAAATGGTCAAGGTTGAGAAACACTGCTTTAGAGAATAGTTCAGATAAGAGAGGGCACAGCCCAGAACTGTATAGTTTCCTAGCTTTTCAGTCTTTAAAGGAGCTTTGTACTTACACATTTCTATTAATGTAGCTGTAGAAGACAGCAAAAAAAACCAAACTCACCAGAGCCAGTGTGACTCGTTTAACAAGTGCCTTGCTTAGCGACAAGGCTCAGTTCTGGTCGTAAGTTGAGGACTGCCTGCAATACTTGGCCAAACCAGCTTTCTGATTCTAAACTGTCCCCTGGTTATTTTTTTCACTTTAGGAGCATCGTCCAATCGGACGAGAAGATGGTGATCAGCGCCTCTTGGGCCAAAGACGACGACATTACCAGACTGTTGAAGTCGCTTCCCAACTGGAGCAACATGGCCCAGCCCAAACAGCTGAGACCTAAACGAGAGGAAGAAGAAGACTTCATAAGGCGAGTTTTTCCTTAGATCCATGGATAGAAATCAACGTTGCACCTGGGTGCCATCTTCGGGCGGGTGGGCCGTGAACCTCCCGCCGCCTGGCTGAATAAGGACAAAGTGCTAGGACAGTGGTTCTCAACCTGTGGGTCCGGACCCCAATTGGGGTCGAACGACCATTTCACGGGGGTCGCCAAACAACGCAGTCTGCCATTTTTTTCCCCTTTTCCTTAGCTGTCCTCCTCCCTTTTATTCTACTGGCTTTTGGAAGCCAATAGAAGAGACTCTCTTGAATAGAGTCTAACTCTATTGGCTTTCAAAAGCCAATAGGAATTGCCCAGGCTGTCTCTGCCCTGCTGAGCCCGCCAAAAGTCCCCATTCTGCAAACGGTGCTGCACCAGTTGAGTAGTCCTCGACTTACGACCGGTTGAGTAGTCCTCGACTTACGACCGGTTGGGGGTCGCGGCATTAAAAAGGTTGAGAACCACTGTGCTAGGAGATTTTATCCCATTGCTTTAGTGAAAAAGACGGATAGGGCCACCCTGCTCAATCGTGGTAACTCCAGGTGGCTTATAGCAGGGGTCCCCAACCTATGGGCCGTGTCCCGGGACCAGGCTGTGGGCTCTTGGCCAGCGGGCCGCAGAATCGGCTGGCCAGTGCACACATACATGGGCATGCATTCCTCCCACTCGTGCTAGCGCCCGCGGCCCCATTTGCGCATGCGCACGGGCACGAACGGGGATGCACCTGCGGGGCGGGTGTCTGCAGCCTGTTTGCGCATGCGCCGCTAGCCCGGGTGATTTGTGCAGCCCGTTTGCACGTGCATGAATGGGTTGCTAGCTGCCATGTGTGTGTGTGTGTGTGTGTGCGCGCACCCAATTTTGAAGCTGCTCTCCTTCCCTCTGGTCCTTGAGCCCAGAAAGGTTGGAGACCTCTAGCTCAGTGGTGGCGAACTTATGGCACGGGTGCCAGAGGCGGCACTCAGAGCCCTCTCTGTGGGCACGCGCGCCGTCACCCCAGTCCTAGGCCTTCAGCTGGGTTTTATAAAACCTTTTCGCTTTAGGCCTCCGCCACCGTGCGCAAAAAAAAAAAAAAAGGTTTAATCAGTCAATTTCAACTTCTTGCAGGGAAAAAAAAGATCTTGCATAGTTGGAATGGATTGATTGAACTTTTTAGTCCCACCCAGTCTGCCGTTACCACCCCAGCCACGCCCACCCAATGGGCCACACCCACCCAATGGGCCACACCCACCCGGCACTCGACGATGCATAAGTGGGTTTTGGGTTGCAGTTTGGGCACTCGGTCTCTAAAAGGTTCGCCATCCCTGCTCTAGCTTATAGGAATAAAGGAGGGAGGGAAGCGGTCCCTGCAGATTTTACTCCCCTAGTCCAGGGGTAGGCAACCCTGGCTCTTTTATGACTCCTGGACTTCAACTCCCAGAATTCCTGAGCCAGCATGAAACCTCTCAGCATGGCTGGCTCAGGAATTCTGGGAGTTGAAGTCCAGGAGTCATAAAAGAGCCGAGGTTGCCTACCCCTGTCCTAGTCGTTGCCGACTATAAGGGTGGCGCTCATGTCTGTTTCAAGGATGCAATCCCAGGAAAAAAGCCAATCATTCCCTGCCCTGCTGCTGGTAACAATCAAACCCACCTCTTTATGGGCTCTGTATCATTCTGGGGTCTCCAGGCCCATTGGCAGTAGCCGGTCTTCAGGATTGTTCAGATGAGTGTCAAAGTGGAGAACCAATCTTACCTCTGCAGGGATGATGTTCCCCAGGCAGGGAGCCACCTGGGGTAGATCTACCTGGGAAATGACAGTCCTTCCAATAACAGGGAAGGAGCCACCACGGAGAAGGTCCTTCTTCTTGGTCCCAACAGATGGACCTCCTTAAGAGAGGGGACCTATGGCATCCTCTGCCTCCTTGCTCTAGTGCAGGGGTAGGCAACCTTGGCTCTTTTATGATTCATGGACAACTTCCAGAATTCTTCAGCCAGCATGGGGGAACCATGGCCCCCTCATGACTCGTGGACTTCAACTCCCAGAATTCCTGAGCTAGCATGAGGGAACCATGGCCCCCTCATGACTCGTGGACTTCAACTCCCAGAATTCCTGAGCTAGCATGAGGGAACCATGGCCCCCTCATGACTCGTGGACTTCAACTCCCAGAATTCCTGAGCTAGCATGAGGGAACCATGGCCCCCTCATGACTCGTGGACTTCAACTCCCAGAATTCCTCAACCAGCATGAGGGAACCATGGCCCCCTCATGACTCGTGGACTTCAACTCCCAGAATTCCTCAACCAGCATGAGGGAACTATGGCCCCCTCATGACTCGTGGACTTCAACTCCCAGAATTCCTCAACCAGCATGAGGGAACTATGGCCCCTCATGACTCGTGGACAACTCCCAGAATTCCTTAGCCAGCATGGGGGAACTATGGCCCCCTCATGACTCATGGACTTCAACTCCCAGAATTCTTCAGCATGGGGGAACTATGGCCCCCTCATCACTTGTGGACTTCAACTACCAGAATTCTTGAGTTAGCATGAGGGAACTATGGCCCCCTCATGACTCGTGGACTTCAATTCCCAGAATTCCTGAGCCAGCATGGCTGAGCTTGGAAACCTCTCCCTTTCCCCTCAGCATGGCTGGCTCAGGAACTCTGGGAGTTGAAGTCCACGAGTCATAAAAGAGCCAAGATTGCCTACCCCTGCTCTAGTGGGTTGGGTAGACCTACCTGGGAAATGACAGTCCTTCAAATAACAGGAAGGGAGCCCCCACAGAGAAGGCCCTTCCTTCTTCTCGGTCCCACCTGATGGACCTCCTTAAAAGAGGGGAACCTTAACACCCCATGCCTCCACACTCTGGTGGACCACAGGTAGAGATGACTAGAAAAAGATGCTCCTTCAAATAACCTGGACCCAAAGCTGGTAGGGCTTCAACGGTGACAACCAGCACTTCGAACTGGGCCCAAAAACAGAATCGGCAGCCGGTGCAGCTCCTGCAGGAGGGGTGGCGACCCCTGGGCAAACCTAGACTTGCACAAAACCGTGCGGTCTGCTCGCTGCCAGGAAGCGGGGCTGAGCTGTTTGTTGAGCGTTCTCTTTGCGTGTTGGACACTTGCTTAATCACGGGCGTCACTTTAGCAGATGGCTCAATTTGGACCGTCTGACCGCTGGATCAATTTTCCTCGCTTTCGCGGTCCAGCTGCTGACCCTTTCCTCCCCTTGGGATACCTGGAAAAGCTTCTCTGCAGCTACTATAAGCTGTTTCAGAAATCCCCCGGTGACGAACGAGAGGCTGGTTATTACCACTTACCGGAACCCATTAGGAAAATTATGTTAAGGAATTCCTACCCCTTTCCGTATTGTCTGGAGCCAGCCTGGTGTGCGGGGTTGAAATTGATCAGACTTTCCTTCCCCCCCTGTAGAAGAACATACAACTTGTTTCTGAAACACAATTATCCAATCTGTCACCGGGACCAAACTTTCGGTCTCGTACTGGGAACGAGACCAGTGCTAGGCTGCATCAACAGAGGGATAGAATCAAGATCACTTGAAGTATTAATACCACTCTACAATGCCTTGGTAAGGCCACACTTGGAATCCTGCATCCAGTTTTGGTCACCACGATGTAAAAAAGATGTTGAGACTCTAGAAAGAGTACAGAGAATAGCAACAAAGATGATTAGGGGACTGGAGACTAAAACATATAAGGAACGGTTGCTGGAATTGGGTATGTCTAGTTTAATGAAGAGAAGGACGAGGGGGGACATGATAGCAGTGTTCCAATATCTCAGGGGGTGCCATAAAGAAGAGGGAATTAAGCTATTTTCCAAAGCACCTGAAGGCAGGACAGAGAAGCAACGGGTGGAAACTAATCAAGGAGAGAAGCAACCTAGAACTAAGGAGAAACTTCCTGACAGTGAGAACAATTAATCAGTGGAACAACCTGCCTCCAGAAGCAGTAAATGCTCCAACACTGGAAATTTTTAAGAAGAGACTGGACAGCCATTTGTCTGAAATGGTGTAGGGTTTCCTGCCTGAGCAAGGGGTTGGACTAGATGACCTCCAAGGTCCCTTCCAACTTTACTACTATTACTATTACTAACTTCTGCCCCTCCAGAATATGCGCATCCCTGATATTTATATGGTGTGTGGTTGTGCGTTGCTGTTTTTTAATTATTATTAATTAGGGTGTGACTGGTTGGCTATTGAGTCGTTGATTGTTGTCTCCTTGTGCAACTCCAGATAAGCTGGTAGTAAATCAGCATCCCAGCTGACTGACAACAGGGGCCCATCTCCCAGGCTGTAATTATTTTCTCTTGGCTGTTTTTGTCCTTTCTCAGCCAACAATCATAGTAGCTGGGAAATTGAATGCATCTCCTTGGTTCGTTCCAATGTGAGCTACCAATGAGTTCGGGTCTCTTGGTCCAACTGCTCGCTCACGTTTTCACAATCTGTTGGTTCGCTTCCTCCCTGTCTGCTCCAGTTATTGTAGTCCAAGGTTGTTGGGTCACATGATGAGAATTCAGACACTTGGGCAACTGCCTCATATTTATGACGGTCGCAGTGTCCCTGGATCACGTGATCCCCTTTTGCCACCATCTGACAAGCAACGTCAACGAGGGAAGCCAGATTCATTCCACAATGCTGTACTAACTTAATAACTGGGATAGAATGGAGCTGGAAGGGACCTTGGAGGTCTTCTAGTCCAGCCCCCTGCTCAAGCAGGAGAACCTATACCATCTCAGACAGGTGACTGTCTAGCCTCTTCTTTAAAACCTCCAGGGATGGAGCGCCCACGATTTCTGGAGGCAAGCTGTTCCACTGGTTAATTGTCCTCACTGTCAGGAAGTTTCTCCTTAATTCCAGGTTGCTTCTCTCTTTGGTCAGTTTCCAACCATTGTTTCTTGTCCTGCCTTCAGGCGCTTTGGAGAATAGCTTGACTCCCTCTGCCTTGTGGCAGCCCCTCAGATACTGGATCACTGCTATCATGTCTCCCCTATTTCTTCTTTTCTTTAGACTGGCCAAACCCAAGTCCTGCAGCCGTTCTTCGTCTGTTTTAGTCTCCAGGCCTTGGATCATCTTAGTTTTAGAATAGAATAGAGCTGGAAGGGACCTTGGAGGTCTTTTAGTCCAGCCCCCTGCTCAACCAGGAGAACCTATACCAGTGGTGGCGAACCTATGGCACACGTGCCGTTGCCCCAGCCTCGCTTCCCCCCCCCCCCCGCAACCCCCTCCTCTCCAGCAGCCCCCCTGATGGAGAGTCGCCCCTGAGCGTGGGCCACCCGGAGCAGCGCAGCCAAGGACATGGCAGCCAGGCAGCGTAGACAAGACTCTTGCCCTCATACCCCATCATGCACAGTTGATGTTGCAGGGCGCGGGCAGAGGGCGTGACTGCCATAGCGCTGCTGGGCTGCCTGGGCAATCTGCAGCGGGGCCCTGGAGGTGGTGAGTGGCCCTGCGGGCAAGCGGGGTGGGGGGCAGGGCAGAGGATGGAGCAGGGGGGGAGTTTGGGGGCACTCGGTCTCTAAAAGGTTCGCCGTCACTGACCTATACCATCTCAGACAGGTGATTGTCCAGTCTCTTCTTAAAAATCGCCAGTGATTTCTGGTGGCAAGCTGTTCCACTGGTTGATTGTCCTCACTGTCAGGAAGTTTCTCCTTAAATCCAGGTGGCTTCTCTCCTTGGTCAGTTTCCAACCATTGTTTCTGGTCCTGCCCTCTGGTGCTTTGGAGAATAGCTTGACTCCCTCTTCTTTGGGGCAGCCCCTTAGATACTGGAACGCTGCTATCATGTCTCCCCTATTTCTTCTTTTCTTTAGACTAGCCAGACTAGCCAAGTCCCGCAGCCGTTCCTCGTCTGTTTTAGTACAGTGGCAAGACAGGTTGCAAAATTAGGGCAAAACTCACTTAACAAGTGTCTCCCTTAGCCACGGAAATTTTGGGCCCGTAAGTCGAGAACTACCTGTTGAGGCCTCCCAAACACGAACTGGCGGACTGCAGCGGCTAAACCCGGAGCCGATGGGAACGTCCCAACAATGTCGTGAACGCTTCTCGTTTATTTCCCCGGTCTAAAGACTCCTGTACGATTGGAAATAATTGCTGGAGGAAGTCGGCCCAGCTAACGCAATTGTGCGCCGCTAAAGTCGTTGGAAAGGAGACGGGATTGAGTGAAGGGCTGATTGGGTTAGGCTTATTGTGGAAACAGTAGGTTTAACAACATAATCTGCCAATCGCGGGACCGATGACCCGGGTAGAGGTGAGGGTGGGTTCAGACAGAGGCACATCTGAACTCTAGCTTCCAGCAAAGTTGAGCAAGAAAATTTATTTTATCCTTCGCGGCCTTTTGCCTCGGATTGGCTCTCTGCAAAACTTTGGGGAATCTAGCTTGCAAGGCCTCAGGCTGGGAAACAGGAGACGGTGAGTTCTAGTCTCGCCTTAGGCCTGAAAGCTGGCTGAGTGACAATCCCCCGGAGTGAGGCACGAAGCCGGCTACATGATTTGGAGCCAATCGCTAGGAAAGGAGGAGTTCTAGTTCCGTCTTAAGCATGGAAACTGACTGGGTGACTTTGAGCCGGTCACCGGGAGATTGGGAGTTCTAGTTCTGCCTTAGGCGTGAAAGCCAGCTGGGTGAATTTGGACCGATCACCAGGAGACGGTGAGTTCTAGCCCTGCCTTAGGCCTGAAAGCTGGCGGAGTGACGATCCCCCGGAGACGGTGAGTTCTAGTCCCACCTGAGGCACGAAGCCGGCTACATGACTTGGAGCCAATCGCTAGGAAAGGAGGAGTTCTAGTTCCGTCTTAAGCGTGGAAACTGACTGGGTGACTTTGAGCCGGTCACCAGGAGATTGGGAGTTCTAGTCCTGCCTTAGACGTGAAAGCCAGCTGGGTGACTTTGGACCGATCACCAGGGGACAGTGAGTTCTAGTTCCATCTTAGCCATTAAAACTGGCTGGCTAACTCTGGGCCAAATCCCTGGGAACCAATGAGTTCTAGTTCCACCTTAGCAATTAAAGCTGGCTGGCTGACTCTGGGCCAATCCCCAGGAGACGGTGAGTTCTAGTCCCACCTTAGCAATTAAAGCCGACTGGGGGACTTCAGGCCTGTCCTTCTCCCTCAGTCCAATCTACCTCACAGGGTTGTTGTTGTGGAGAAAGTAGGAGGAGGTAAAAGTATGAGGTATCTTCGCCACTTAGTTATAAAAAAATAATAAGTTTGTGTGTGCTTGTGTGTGTGTGAAATAAAATAAATAATGCTCTTCTCCCTGGCCGACTCATCCCTCGCGCTCTCTTCCTTCTAGAACTGCCTTTGGCAAGGAGTCCGAAGTCCTGATCGGGAACCTGGGCGACAAGCTGATTCCGCAGCAAGAGATTCTCCGGGACGTCAGCGACCTGAAGGCCTTGGCCAACATGCACGAGAGTCTGGAGTGGCTGTCGGGACGGGTGAAGAGCGCCATCTCCAGCCTTCCAAGTAAGTGACCCCTGGGAAGACGGAAATGCGCCGGGGGAGATTCCCAATAAGGCAGGTCGTCCTCGACATAACGACCGCAGTGGAGCCCCAGATTTCCGTTGCTAAGCGAGACGGTTGTTAAGGAACAGATGGAAACCAATCAGTGAGAGAAGCCGCCTGGAATGAAGGAGAAACGTCCTGACAGCGAGGACAATTAGCCGGTGGAACCACTTACCACCAGAAGTCATGGGCGCTCCCTCGCTGGAGGCTTTCAAGAAGAGACAGGACAAACATTTGTCTGGAATGGTGTAGAGTCTCCTGCTTGAGCAGGGGGTTGGACTAGAAGACCTCCAAGGTCCCTTCCAACTCTATTATTAATTACAGGTTGTCCTCGACTTACGACCAGAAAGGAGCCCAAGATTTCTGTTGCTAAGCAAGATAGTTGTTAAGTGAATTTTCCCTCATTTTACAACCTTTCTGGCCGCAGTTGTTAAATGAATCACTGCAGTCGTTAAGTTAGTAACATGGTTGTTAAGTGAATCAGGCTTCCCCATTGACAACAATAGGATTGTTGTTGTGGGGAAAATAGGAAGAGGATGGATGGATGGATGGATGGATGGATGGATGGATGGGTGGGTGGGTGGACGGATAGACAGACATAGAAGATGGATGGGTGGGTGGGTGGGTGGGTGGGTGGGTGGGTAGATAGATAGATAGATAGATAGATAGATAGATAGATAGATAGATAGATAGATAGATAGATAGATAGATAGATAGATAGATAGATAGGTGGACGGACGGATGGACACACATACATAGATAGATGGATGGATGGATAGATAGATAGAGATAGATAGATAGGTGGGTGGGTGGGCAGGTAGACACACAGACAGATGGACGGATGGATGTATAGATGATAGAGATAAATAAATAGGTAGGTAGGTAGATGGGTGGGTGAGTGGACGGATGGACGGACACATAGAACATGGATGGTTGGGTGGGGGTGGGCGGGCAGACGGACGGACAGACAGACATAGAAGATAGAAGACAGATAGATGGATGGATGACAGACAGACAGATAGACATATAGATAGATAAATAGGTGATAGATAGAAAGATAGTTAGATAGATAAATAGATAAAAAGATAAATAGATAAATGATAGAAAGATAGGTAGATAGATATAGATAAAGGTAGATTAGATAGATAGATAAATAGATAAAAAGGTAAATAGAGAGAGAGAGATAAAAAAGTAGATAGATAGATAGATAGGTAGGTGGGTGGGTGGGTGGGTGGGTGGGTGGGTGGGTAGGTAGGTAGATAAACAGATAAAAAGGTAGATAGATAGACAGACAGACAGACAGACAGACAGATAGATAGAATAAACGGACTGATGTTTCCCTAGGACCTCAGAGACCAAGGACTGGCCTTGAATTATAGATGCAAGCTAACTTAGGATGAGGGCGTCGTCGGCAGAAACAAAGAACCCGACTTCCTTTATACGCCACCGAGGTTTCAATCCTGACTTTCCTTCTCCTGCCCCCCCCCCCTTGCCTGCACCTGGCCTTCAGTTATAAAATGATCCTCTGAGGTCCCAGGACGGCTAACATGCGGCAGGTGTCAGCAAAGGTGAAGGCAGAGGGCTCCGCGGGTGGAAGGTCACGGCGGAAAAGTCCAGAAGGCGGAATGACGAGGGGAGGCTGGAAAGCAATGGAACACCTGCTCAGAGCTTAATGACGGCCTGAAAACCCCGTGGGAAGTCCATGGCCTAAGTAAGGGGGCAGGCCTTCTGGTTTTCTACCAAATATTCCAACCTGTTATTATTTGAAGAGGTAGGCAAAAGCTTTATTTCTTTTACTCCTTTTTTTAACAACTTCTAAAAGAGTTTTCGAGCATTGAAATAAAAGTTTTGAATCCAGCAGGCCAGCAGTATTCATGGTTTCAAATGTACAGGGGGATACTCTCCCCCCCCCCCTCTCTCTTTGTCTCTCTCACATCTATCTATCTACTCTATCTTATCTATCTCTCTTTATCTATCTAATCTAACTATCTCTATCTTATCTTTCTCTGTCTTATCTATTTATCTATCTTTAACTCTATCTTTCTCTCTATCTATATTTCTGTCTGTCTATTATCTGCCTGTCTATCTATATCTATCTATCTATATCTATCTCCTCCCCCAGTCTCTCTCCTGATAGCTAACAGAGTGGGAGAGAGCCTGTGGCTTAGAGGTTATAACAACTGCCTAACATGCAGATAAGCCCAGGTTCGAATCTCAGAAGAGTAAGTCTGGCTGAAGAGAGTTAATGGAACTCGAAATAGCTATACCAGTTCTCTCTTTATTCTTTGTTAGCAACCTAAAAAAATATCTATCTATCTATCTATCTATCTATCTATCTATCTATCTATCTATCTATCTATCTTAATATTCATCTCTCTCTATATATATCTATATCTTATCTGTCTTTATCTCTCTCTCTCTATCTTATCTATCTATCTTATCTATCTCTCTTTATCTATCTATCTTATCTATCTTTATCTCTCTCTATCTTATTTATCTATCTATATCTTATCTGCTTATCTATCTTTATCCCTCTCTCTCTTTCTATTTCTGGCTGTCTGTCTATTATCTCCATCTCTCTCTCTCTCTCTATCTATCTATATCTATCTATCTTATCTATTTATCTATCTTTATATCTCTCTATCTTATCTATCTATCTTATCTATCTATTTATCTCTCTCTCTCTCTTTCTGTCTTTTATCTCCCTATCTCTCTCTCTCTCTCTCTCTCTCTCTCTCTGTTTCTCTCTCTATCTATTTCTGTCTGTCTATTATCTCCCTCTCTCTCTCTCTCTCTCCACCTATCTATCTCTATGTATCTATGTATCTATATGTCTATCTGTCTGTTGTCTGCCTGCCAGCCTATCTGTCTGTCTGTCTACCTACCTACCAACTTTTCTCTCCCTTCCTCCCTCCATCCCTCCCTCCATCCATCCATCCATCCATCTGTATATCCATCCATTCATCCATCTCAAGAATTGGTTTCTAGTAAGGTTATTACCTGCAGGTAATTGGGGGGGGTGCTATTGAGAACTTTTCGATTCTAAAAAGGCACCCCCACTTTGACAAGATAGGGAGACCAAACGAAAAGGATAGCTGGCTTGATTGAGCCAGCCAAAACTCTCTTGGTTGTGTTACATGTGGATGCATGCCGTTGAAGTGGAAGGTGAAGGTTATCTGATTTCCTTGTACAATAAGTGGATGAAGCAGGTTCTGCCTTGGGGGGGGGGAGAAGCCGCAGCTGCTGTTTTGTCAAGCAATTAAAGGTGACAATTGTTGGCACAGCTGGGAACTCTGAGGGGGCACCAAGCAGTGTGGTGCATGAAGGATTCTCGGTGATCAAAGAGTAGCCATCCTTCAGTCCATCGTGTTTCTGGATTATTGCATCTAGTTTTGGTCACCAAAATACAAAAAAGATGCTGAGACTCTAGAAAGAGTGCAGAGAAGAGCAACAAAGATGATCAGGGGACTGGAGGCTAAAACATACAAGGATCGGTTGCTGGAATTGGGTACGTCTAGTTTAATGAAGAGAAGGACGAGGGGGGGGACAGGATAGCAGTCTTCCAATCTTTCAGGGGCTGCCCCAAAGAAGAGGGAGTCAAGCTATTCTCCAAAGCGCCTAAAGGCAGGACAAGAAGCAACAGGCGGAAACTCATCAAGGAGAGATCCAATCTAGAATTAAGGAGAAATTTCCTAACTAGAACTCACCGTCTCCTGGAGATTGGCTCAGAGTCACCCGGCCAGCTTTTGTGCGCAAGGCAGGACTAGATTCCATCATCTCCTGGGGATTGGCCCAAAGTTGCTCAAATGGCTTTCATGTCTAAGACGGGACTAGAACTCACCGTCTCCTGGGGATTGGTCCAAAGTCACTCAGCCAGCTTTCATGCCTAAAGCAGGACTAGAACTCACCATCTCCTGGTGATTGGCCCAAAGTCACCCAGCTGGCTTTCATGCCTAAGGCGGGACTAGAACTCACCATCTCCTGGTGATTGGCCCAAAGTCACCCAGCTGGCTTTCATACCTAAGACGGGACTAGAACTCACCGTCTCCTGGTGATTGGCCCAAAGTCACCCAGCTGGCTTTCATTCCTAAGACGGGACTAGAACTCACCATCTCCTGGTGATTGGCCCAAAGTCACTCAGCCAGCTTTCATGCCTAAAGCAGGACTAGAACTCACCGTCTCCTGGTGATTGGCCCAAAGTCACCCAGCTGGCTTTCATGCCTAAGACGGGACTAGAACTCACCGTCTCCTGGTGATTGGCCCAAAGTCACCCAGCTGGCTTTCATTCCTAAGACGGGACTAGAACTCACCGTCTCCTGGTGATTGGCCCAAAGTCACTCAGACAGCTTTCATGCCTAAGGCAGGACTAGAACTCACTGTCTCCTGGGGATTGGCCAAAGTCACTTTGATGTCTAAGGTGGCACTAGAACTCACTGTCTCCTGGTGACTGCTCCAAAGTCACTCAGCCAGCTTTCATACCTAAAGCAGGACTAGAACTCACCATCTCCTGGTGATTGGCCCAAAGTCGCTTTGATGTCTAAGGCGGGACTAGAACTTACCGTCTCCTGATGATTGGCCCAAAGTCACCCAGCCAGGAGTAATAAGGAGCAAACCCAGATAGCTTATGCATTGGTGAATTCAGCCAGGTGCAGTCACCTTGAATTTCTCAGCTCACCTTGGGAACAGCAACGACAAAGTCACATTTCAAGCTTTGCAGGGACTTCACTGATCTCGTTCTCCTTGATCTTAAATTTTAAGGAGGCTGCCGTTCAGCTCAGCCTGTTAGGGTGGGTTAACAATGAAATAAAATCCATAAATTGAACGGCAAACACAGCTCAGCAGGTACTTAAAAGCAGCGAAAGAAAGGCAGAGACGACCAAACGGTTGCAAAGAAAGAATGTCAATAGTTTCTAAACAGCCTGGGGTAAAAGAAAAAAAAAAGCTTTTGCATTTCTGGCTCTGAAAAGGGAAGAAACCTATGTGAAAACTTAATTGCGGTTACGGGTGTTTGGGCGGACGTCAAAATGGGTGTCATGCTGGGGTTGTGTGAATCCAGACAGAAAGGGCCAGGCCTTGGGTTGCCTTAGAGTCCACCCCTCTAAGGGGCTGCCCCAAAGAAGAGGGAGTCAAGCTCTTCTCCAAAGTGCCTGAAGGCGGGACAAGAAGCAATGGAGGGAAACTAACCAGGGAGAGAAGCAACCTGGAACTAAGGAGAAACTTCCTGAACAGTCAGAACAATTAACCTGCGGAACAACCTGCCTCCAGAATGAGCACTAAACAAATGGTTTAGTGGTTTGGTTCGAGGGCCACCTGTACTATAATCTGTATATCCCAGAATAGTCCACCATCTGTTTATAAAAGAAGGGCTTAGCTTGCTTTTAGTTTGCTTCAGATATGTTTCTTGAACTGGAGACCAGAGAATGGGAGACACTGGTGATGTTACCTAGTTGGGTCATGAAATGTCTGCAAGAAAACAACCAGAAACCATCCGAGAGCAGAAAGAACACCACAATCTCCTCCTCCTCTTCATCCTCCTCCTCCTCCAACCCCCCTCCCTTCTAGCACTGATGATGTTACCTAGTCAAGTAACGAAATGTCTGCAAGGAAACCACCCAGCTCAGGGAGCCCAAGGACCCCACAGTGGAGGTCATCTGAAGTAGCCGAGAAATCGGGCTGGGTTGTGAACAGAAGCAGCACACGGATTTCTCTTTCTCTTGCACTGCAGCTTCTCCTGCCACAGATGCTCACAGCAAGACCGATCTCCCACCAGTCTCGGAACAGATCTTGCAGACCCTAACAGACTTGGCTCGATCTTTCCAGGAGATGGCAGACTCTTGTTTGCTGGTTTTACACCTGGAAGTCAGGTAAGACATGCAATCTATCTATCTATCTATCTATCTATCTATCTATCTATCTATCTATCTATCTATCTATCTATCTATCTATCTATCTATCATCTATCTATCTATCATCCATCTGTCTATCTATCTATCATCTATCTATCCATCTATCATCTTTCTGTCTGTCTGTCTATCTATCTATCTATCTATCTATCTATCTATCTATCTATCTATCTATCTATCTATATCTATCATCTAGCTAGCTAGTTAGCTAGCTATGAAAGATAATCTGTCTATCTATCTCTATCAGCTAGCTAGCTAGCTATGACAGATTATCTATCTATCATCTATCTCTATCATCTAGCTAGCTAGCTAGCTATGACAGATTATCTATCTATCTATCTATCATCTTTCTGTCTGTCTATCTATATCTATCATCTATCTATCATCTAGCTAGCTAGCTATGAAAGATAATCTGTCTATCTATATCAGCTAGCTAGCTAGCTATGACAGATTATCTATCTATTTATCATCTATCTATCATCTATCTATCTATCTATCTATGACAGATAATATATATATCAGCTAGCTAGCTAGCTAGCTATGACAGATAATCTGTCTGTCTATCTATCTATCTATCTATCTATCTATCTATCTATCTATCTATCTGTCTGTCTGTCTGTCTATCTATATTCTTTATCTATGTGTGTCCGTCTGTTTGTCTGTCTATTTATCTGTCTATCTATCTATCCATTCATCTATCATCTATCTCTATGTGTCTGTCTGTCTGTGTCTGTCTGGCTATCTATCTATCCATTTGTTATCTATCTATCTATCTATCTATCTATCTATCTATCTATCTATCTATCTATCTATCTATCTCAACCCAAGTGGCAAACATACTTAATCCTCTTTCCTCAGAGCAACAACCCTTTAAGGTGGATTGGACTGAGGGAGAGGGATTAGCCCAAAGTCACCTAGCTGGTTTTCAGGTCTAAGATGGGACTAGAACTCCCAGTCTCTTGGTGATTGGCCCCAAATCATCCAGCCAGCTTTTATGCTTAAGGCAGGACTAGAACTCACTGCCTCCTGCTGATTGACCCAAAGTCACCCAGCCCGCTTTCATGCCTATGGCGGGACTAGAACTCACCATCTCCTGGTTTCTTGTTTTGCGCTGGGTCGATATCTCAGAATCCAGGCATTTCTGAACACCCCCCCCCCCAAGAGCTGCAGAATCCTGAAGGAAGAAAGAGCCTTGCAATTTATAAAGCAGCATATAGTGCAATTAGGCAGAAAATTAGCATGTAAAAACATTTCATATACATTATTTTTGTTCCCCCTGTCAGGTAGGTCTGTGTAATTATTCCCCCATGTGCAGATAGAGTAGGAAGGACTGGAAAATAAGAGCCAGAGTTTTTCCAAGCGGGGAGATGGCAGATGTGTGAAGTTTTAATCACTCCTCATCTTGATTGAACATTGCAAATTGCAATTAAAAACCCAGACACCCGTTACATTTGCCCAGAAGTCTTAACCAGGTTGAATGAAATTCGTCTGAGCCAACTTTTCAACTTTGCATCTCGCACGGAACCAGCTTTTTAGATAGTTAGTGGGTCAGTATATTATATGAACCTAGAACAAGAGTCTTCAAACTTGGCAACGTTAAGACTTGTGGACTTCAACTCAGCCCTGGCTGGCTGAGGAATTCTGGAAGTCCACCAGTCATAAAAGAGCCAAGGTTGCCTAACCCCACCCCATCCAGCCAGGAATTCTGGGAGTTGAAGTCCACGAATCATAAAAGAGCCAAGGTTGCCTACCCCTGTCCTAAGTCCTCCTGTTCTAAGCGGTGAGCCTCCTAGACCAGGGGTAGGCTACCTTGGCTCTTTTATGACTCGAGGACTTCAACTCCCAGAATTCCTGAGCCAGCATGGCTCAGCTTGGAAACCTCTCCCTTTCCCCTCAGTATGGCTGGCTCAGGAATTCTGGGAGTTGAAGTCCATGAGTCATAAAAGAGCCAAGGTTGCCTACCCCTGGTCTAGGAGGTTCACCGCTTAGAACAGGAGGACTTAGGACAGGGGTAGGCAACCTTGGCCCTTTTATGACTCGTGGACTTCAATTCCCAGAATTCCTGAGCCACCATGGCTCAGCTTGGAAACCTCTCCCTTTCCCCTCAGCATGGCTGGCTCAGGAATTCTGGGAGTTGAAGTCCACCAGTCATAGAAGAGCGAGGTTGCCTACCCCTGGTCTAGGAGGCTCACCGCTTAGAACAGGAGGACTTAGGACAGGGGTAGGCCACCTTGGCTTTTTTATGACTCATGGACTTCAACTCCCAGAATTCCTGAGCCAGCCACGCTGAGGGGAAAGGGAGAGGTTTCCAAGTTGAGCCATGCTGGCTCAAGAATTCTGGGAGTTGAAGTCCACCAGTCATAAAAGAGCCAAGGCTGCCTATCCCTGTCCTATTGAGACTTTTTGACAAGCACAGTCAACGGGGGAAGCCTTATTCACTTAACGACCGAGTGACTAACTTAACAACTGCAGTGATTCAGTCAACACTCTGAGGGAAGAAAAGTCATAAAATGGGGCAAAACTCCCTTAACCAATGTCTCACTTAACAATAGAAAAATTGGGCTCCATTGTGGTCCTAAGTCGAAGACTACCTGTGTTTATTTCTTTAGCTTTAAGACTCAAAGATGGAGACGGATATTTAATTTAAAGCAGGGGTCTCCAAACTTGGCCCTTTTATGACTTGTGGACGTCAACTCCCAGAATTCCTCAGCCAGGCACATGCGTGCATGTGCACATGCACACACACACACACACACACACACACACACACACCTCTGCCTCATGTTAGGAATATAAGCACCTTAAACACTAGAGGCAATATTCTCCTATATTATTCTAGTTTCCTAATCTATTATACATGTCATTTTCAGTACAGGTATTCCATGCTTTAGGACAGGGGTCTTCAAACTTGGCTCTTTTATGACTGGTGGACTTCAACTCCCAGAATTCCTGAGCCAGCCAAGCTGAGGGGAAAAGGAGAGGTTTCCATGCTGAGTCATGCTGGCTGAGGGATTCTGGGAGTTGAAGTCCACCCGTCATAAAAGAGCCAAGGTTGCCTACCCCTGGTCTAGGAGGCTCACCGCTTAGAACAGGAGGTCTTAGGACAGGGGTAGGCAACCTTTGCCCCTTCATGACTCGTGGACTTCAACTCCCAGAATTCCTGAGCCAGCCACGCTGAGGGGAAAGGGAGAGGTTTCCAAGCTGAGCCATGCTGCCTCAGGAATTCTGGGAGTTGAAGTCCACCAGTCATAAAAGAGCCAAGGTTGCCAACCCCTGTCCTAAGCAGTGAGCCTCCTAGACCAGGGGTAGGCAACCTTGGCTCTTTTATGACTCATGGACTTCAACTCCCAGAATTCCTGAGCCAGCCATGCTGAGGGGAAAGGGAGAGGTTTCCAAGCTGAGCCATGCTGGCTCAGGAATTCTGGGAGTTGAAGTCCATGAGTCATGAGGGAGCCATAGTTCCCTCATGCTGGCTCAGGAATTCTGGGAGTTGAAGTCCACCAGTCATAAAAGAGCCAAGGTTGCCAACCCCTGGCCTAGACACTTAGCTTTGTGGATTTTCCACCTTGCTTTGGCTTCCTTGTGCCTGAAGGGGGGTGGGGGAACCCAGGAAAACCGAGTTCCCTCCTTCTTAGCCTTGGAGCCCTCGTAATCCTGGCTTCCTTCGACAAGCCCAGTTTGACGTGCCTTCTCCTTCGACAGGGTCCATTGCTTCCACTACCTGATCCCGTTGGCTAAGCAAGGCAACTACGCCATTGTGGCCAACGTGGAGAGCATGGACTACGACCCGCTGGTGGTGCGGCTCAACAAGGACATCAGCGCCGTGGAAGAAGCCATGAATGCCAGCTTGCAGCCGCACAAGTTCCAGTACATCTTCGAAGGTGGGTGGGTTGGCGAGGAGCTGAGGAGGGCAAAGTCGCCAGCCTTGCTGGCATCCTCTTCCTAGAAGCCTCACGATTAAACCTTTACTCAGCTGCAAACCTCGGCTACACATTGCTTATATTTGCTCTGGAAGAATTTAACCAAGTTAAAGATCGGCCTATTTTTTTTTAAAAAAAAATTTCGTTTTGTGAAGAAAAATCAGGTTCAGGAAGTCCTAAGCTTACGACTGCAGCTGGCACCCGAATTTCCACTGCTGAGGAAGGCCATGCCCTCGAATGAGCCACGCCTCATTTTACGACCTCTTTCCCACCGTTGTTAACTGAGTCGGTGCGCTTGTGAAGGGAACCGCGCAGATTTGAAAGGAAGCCAGCTTCCTCAGCTGCCTTCGCTCGTCGGAAGCCAGTTTTGAAGGCCGCAAATGGACCCGCAATCAATATAAATACCTCTGGTGTCCAAGTCCTCAAATACAGAAAGTCCTCGACTTACAACAGTTCATTTAACGACTGTTCAAAATTACAACAGGACTGGAGAAAAAAAATGACATCACCGTTTTTCACACTTACGATGTCCCCCAGGGTCACATGATCAAAATTCGGACGGCCGCTAACCGAACGGTTGTAAGTAGAGATGGAAAAAAAAAACTGAAAAAAATTGGCAACAATACAGTTTTTTTGTGTGTGTGTTTTTGTCCAAACGGCTTTGGAAGAAAACGGAAAAATACCCCTGTTTTTTTCTCCCAATTGTACTGTTTTGTTTTTTTTCCAGGCCTTCCCATCTAGGGTATAGGCCTTCCCATCAAGGGGTTGGACTAGAAGACCTCCAAGGTCCCTTCCAGCTCTATTAAATAATAATAGTAATAACAATGATGACAATAATGATAATGATAATTTTTAAAAACCCTGTTTTTTCTGCCAATTTTTCTGGAATTAATAATAATTTCAAATAGACAAGCACCTGCAACATAACACCCCGGACTTAACAATTGTCGATAAGAAAGACAAAAAAAGTCTGGGTAGTGGATGTGGCAGTGCCTGGAGACAGCAGAATAGACGAGAAAGAGCTGGAGAAGATAACAAAATACAAAGACCTACAAATAGAAATAGAAAGACTGTGGCAAAAGCAAGCAAGGGTGGTACCAATAGTGATAGGCGCCTTGGGTGCAATCCCAAAACAACTGGAGCACCACTTGAACATCAATGGCATTGACACATTCGCTATTAGTCAATTGCAAAAGGCAGCCTTACTAGGAACTGCTTCCATCCTGCGACGATATCTGTAATACCATCAAACAACCACATCTGCCTATCCCAGGTCCTGGGTAAGGACTCGATAGGTAGACAAAAATGCCAGATCCAGTCTGAACATCTGGCTGACTGTGCAATGATCCATAATAATAATTAAACTATTCTGGGACTTCAGAATTCAAACAGACAAGCACCTGCAACATAACATCCCGGACTTAACAATTGTCGATAAGAAAGACAAAAAAAGTCTGGGTAGTGCACGTGGCAGTGCCTGGAGACAGCAGAATAGATGAGAAAGAACTGGAGAAAATAACAAAATACAAAGACCTACAAATAGAAATAGAAAGACTGTGGCAAAAGCAAGCAAGGGTAGTACCAATAGTCATAGGCGCCTTGGGTGCAATCCCAAAACAACTGGAGCACCACTTGAACACCATCATCGGCATTGACAAATTCGCTATTAGTCAATTGCAAAAGGCGGCCTTACTAGAAACTGCTTCCATCCTGCGACGAGATCTGTAATACCATCAAACATCCACATCTGCCTATCCCAGATCCTGGGTAAGGACTCGATAGGTAGACAAAAATGCCAGATCCAGTCTGAACATTTGGCTGACTGTGCGATGATCAATGATAATAATAATAGCAACAACAACAATAATAATAATAATTATAAAAACATCTACAGCATCTCTAGTTTTAAGTTAAGGACTACCTGTCTAATAGAATCGTAACATTTCTTCCTCCTGACCGATCAACTCATTGTGACCTGCAATTTCTCTCTGCTCCAGGTTTGGGCCATTTAATCTCCTGCATCCTCATCAACGGGGCTCAGTACTTCAAGCGGATCAGCGAGTCGGGCATTAAGAAGATGTGCCGCAACATCTTCATCCTTCAGCAGAACCTCACCAACATCACCATGTCCCGGGAGGCCGATCTGGACTTCGCAAGGTAGGAGGAAGGAGACTGTGTTGGGGTGGGGGGCGAGCTTTTGGGGCAAGCTTACGATCTCAATTGACTTACAATCTCAATTGATCCCCCCCCCCGAACTTCCCAAGTGGGTTGAGCTTCGCCCCGTTTTACGACGGTGTTGGCCGCAGCTGTTCAGCGAATCACGGCAGATGTTAGGTGAATTGTGTGCGGTCGTTCAGCACATCTGGCTTTCCTCATTGACTTTGCTTGTCGGGAACTGGCTGGGAAGGTGACAAATGGCGATCATGTGACCCTGGGACCGTGAAACTGTCGTAAATACATGCCAGTTGCCAAGTGGCCAGATTTCCCAGGGAGGACTAGAACTCACCGTCTCCTGGTGACTGACCCAAAGTCACCCAGCTGGCTTTCATGCCTAAGGCGGGACTAGAACTCACCGTCTCCTGGTGATCGGCCCAAAGTCACCCAGCTGGCTTTCATGCCTAAGGCGGGACTAGAACTCACCGTCTCCTGGTTTTCAACCTGGTGCCTTAAGCAGAGCCCAAACTACTTCTTAATCCCAATATCCCATCTCTGCTCCCGCTCTGACACTTCCAGTCCTTTCACAACACCTTAGCGGCTGTTTGCTCCATCTCCGTGGCCCCGGCGAGCCGGGCAGCCCGCCTCCCTTAACTGCCAACTTGGCTCACTTCCTTGAGCCATCCAGAGGGGCCGAATAGGAAGCGACGGCTTGCATGCACCGGGACGCTCTTCGCTCCCACCCAGGCAGGTTGAGGGGGGCCTCCCCTTTCCCTAACCAACAAACTGGGGGTTACTTAATGCCGCAAATCCTGTCTCGTGCGTTCCTGTGTGTGTGTGTGTGTGTGTGTGTGTGTGTGTGTGTGTGTGTGTGTGTGTGAAAACTCGGCTTTGGTGATTTATCCCTACCTAATTCCGGAATCATTTGGCACGGGCCAAGGATTGGCGGCGGGGTTAATGGAAGCCAGCATTAAGATTTGCATAGATTCTGCAAACAGATACGCCGCGCGTGCCGGCCTTTTTCTCCTTTACGGCTGATTGTCTCTTTAATCTTGACATTAGTTATTTCAGGCATGGACAGCTGAGGGGATGAAATATTCATAAGGACATCTGAAGAGGGGTGGTGGGTGTCTGAGGGTGGAGGTGGTCAGGGATCCAAATGTGTCTGGACCCTGCAAAAAAAAAAAAGCGCTGTGTTGTACCCCCCACGCACCCAGAAAGGGATAGCCCCATAATCGTGTGTCCCCCCCTCCCTCTTCCTTCTTCCCTCTCCCCCTCCCCAAATTAGATGGGGGAACAACAGAGCCCACTCATGACTCCGATTATTGGGACCCTCATACGGGGAACCACCTTGTCGTGCTAACCTCGACAGCGAGGGGAAATTGCACAGCCCAGGGACCTTCGTTATCCATTCTCCTTGGGATAGCATCCTGAAATTCAATCATTTCCTTTCAAAATGATTTCTCTCCCCCCCCCTTCTTCTCTTCCTCCTCCCTCCTTGGAATGTTAACTGAATTAGGCCAGGGTTTTTTGGCAGGCAACCACACACTGGATATGTGTGGATGGCAACCGGCACGCCAGTCACAGCTTGAAACGGAAGCAGAGGTTGGCACGGCTTGAAGCCCCAAGACAAAGTTTATACGTTCGCTTATTAAATTTATATGCCGCCCGTCTCCCCGATAAAGCGACCGTGGGCGGCTTGCAGTTCGTAGAAAGAGAAATAGGAAAACGGTTAACCGTTGGTAAACTGTGCCAATTTAAAAAAATTTTAAAAGCCAAGTTAGGGCACCGGCGCGCCCACTTTTAAGTTGGCATCTCCGCTTCCTAATCCCTGTCTTTTGAGATCCTCTGCAATGGTCCAAATAAGATAAGATAACCTTTATTGTCATTTGTTTTTTTTTTACTGTGGGCACAACAGCACACATCAAAAATAGAATTTAGTTGCCCACTCTCAAAGTGAAACACATGCATGGCACACACCTAAACATACTATGAACAACATATGTATAGACCCACACCCCTACATATACGTAGCAAATAAATATTAAATACTGTCCATCTTGAATACATAACAGAAGGAGGAAGCTTGAGAGTTTGCAAGGTTAATGCTGTGTGAAATGAAACTCTGGCTGAATCGGGATGTTCTGCTACGGATAATGTGGTTTTTTAAAACCTTTTTTTTTAAAAAAAACAATTGAAACTTTATTTTAAATCAAGGTTTGGAAAGGGGGGCTCAAACCCTTAAAAAAAAACCACACAGGCACACACACACACACACACACACACACACACACACACACAGAGGTGACTGCCAAAACAAATGCAAAGCAAAGTAGAAACAAAAGTAAAAAATATTTTTTTTTGTTTTATTTTATTATTGCTTTATGTCAACTTCCAAATGTGGCCTTTAAATTCCCCCCCTTTTTTATTTTAAACTTTATTTTGGGGCAGGATGTGTGTGGGGCAACTTAAACTTTTTTTAAAAAAAAAAAACACTGTGACAATGAAAAAAGATAGAGATGGGTCGATGGACAGACTCTCTCTCTTTCTCTCTCTCTCTCTCTCTTTCTCTTTCTCTCTCTCTTTCTCTCTCTCTCTTTCTCTCCCTCTCTCTTTCTCTCTCTCTCTCTCTCTCTCTTTCTCTCTCTCTCTCTTTCTCTCTCTCTCTTTCTCTCCTTTCTCTCTCTCTCTCTCTCTCTCTCTCTCTCTCTGCAGTACCACAATACAACAGATAGTGGCGGTTTGGCAATGCAAGGCTGCCATCTAGTGGCCACCCCAAGGAAGAGCCAAGGTCTTCTTAATTTCATTTTTTTTCCTCCACGGAATTGACAGGGAATGAAGTTGCACATTTCAGTTAGTTCAACTTGCACGCCCGTGTGCACACACGCGCGTGCAGCTCAGCTTGCGCATGTCGAGCTGCACGTGGAGGGCTCCCCTCTTCCCTCCCCTCCACCCCCGTGCTCGGTTGCAAAGGTTGGGGACTGGTGCCGTTGAGGACCTCAATATTCAGACTAATTTAGGAAGGAAGAAACAACCGGTGAAATATGCTAAGCCTGTTGGAGGCTAAGGGCCTGACAAGCTTAAGCCTTGTTTTAATGAGGTCGGCTTGGATTCTGCTTTACGTTCCCGACAAAAAGAGAGGAAAGAAAACCGGTATTATTTTATTTGCAATTAAGAACTTGGCTCCCTAAATATCCTCCTGTGTTATATAATTTCCCTCCCCACGCCCTTGTTTGTGGTCTTCCCTGCTGTTTCTATGGAGGTCTGATCTTAGCACAGTGTTAATTAGCATGAATCCTACATGAAAAAAAAACAAAACCAAAAAGCTCCAATTGCGATGGATTAAGCCTGAACACACAGACACACATAGACACACACACACACACACACACACACACCTCTTTGTTTTCCTAGACTCTTTCCTCGGGGTGACTGTTCCCTTTGGGAGATCAAAGCCTCGGGGAAGGGGGCTTCTCTCACTTGGTTTTAGGCAGTGGCAGAAGTGTCAGGTTGAATCCACGTATGATGGGTTGTCCAACAGACCTTGGTTAAGAGAGGAAGTAGTATTGTCCTAGAAGAGATTCCTGACTCCGGGAAGGACTTGGGAAGGTGGGTCCTGAGAAGGAGACTCTTGACTGAACTTCACTAGGTGTAAGTTGATCTAGACCAGGGGTAGACAACTTTGGCTCTTTTATGACTGGTAGACTTCAACTCCCAGAATTCCTGAGCCAGCCTGGCTCAGCTTGGAAACCTCTCCCGTTCCCCTCAACATGGCTGGCTCAGGAATTCTGGGAGTTGAAGTCCACCAGTCATAAAAGAGCCAAGGTTGCCTACCCCTGATCTAGATCATTGTTAATGGGTGTAAATTGATTCAAATAATTGATAATTGCTTCACTACGCTAGATATAGGTTGATCTAAATAACTGATAATTGCTCAACTTGATCTACTTAATAGATAATTGCTTCACTATGCTAGATACACAATAAGTTGATCTAGATCAGCGTAGATCCCTTTTTGGCAATAGGGACCGGTTTCATGGAAGACAATTTTTCCACTGACCAGGGGGGTGCGGGGTGGGGGGAGGAAGAAGCATGCAACCTAGACTCTGGGCATGCACAGTTTCGCTCGCCCGCCATCCATTTCCTGCTGTGTGGCCCAGTTCCTAACAGGCCATGGGCCATTACGAGCCCACAGCCAGGTGGTTAGGAACCCCTGATCTAGATGACTGATAATTGCTCAACCATGCCAGGTATAAGCTGCTAGATCATAGATCATTGCTCAGCCATGCCAGGTATACATTGATCTAGATCATAGATCATTGCTCAACCACGTCAGGCATACGTTGATCTGGATCATAGATCATTGCTCAACCATGCCAGGTATACGTTGATCTAGATCATAGATCATTGCTCAGCCACACCAGGTATACGTTGATCTAGATCATAGATATTGCTCAACCACGCTAGATATAAGTTTATCTAGATCACTTATAATTCCATAACTATGCTAGATTTAAGATGTGATAATTGCTCAATTATGCTAGGTATGTTGATCTAGATCATAGATAATTGCTCAACCACACTAGGTTTAAGTTGATCTAGATCATTGATAACTGCTTAACCGTGCTAGATATAAGATGGATAATTCGTTGGGAGATTTTCAGGATATCGCTGTACCCCCTTACTAACTATACAGATGTTTCCAGAAATCCAAGTGCTTCCTGTTGCCAGAGCTCGCCAGTGGTGTAGGCTTGATGCCAGAGAATCCAGTTCCATTCAGAAGCTGGAAAGGGAAGCTTGAGCAAGGGGGGTTGGACTAGAAGACCTCCAAGGTCCCTTCCAACTCTTGTTATTCTGTTATTCATCTTCAACCGTAGCCGTTTTGCTCAGCTTAGCTCTTTTTCTTTAAATTGCCAATTTCTTTTGTCATTCCCCTTTGAGACTGTCCGGTCAAATACTATGTCTGTCCCCAAAATATATGTTCTAATAGAGGAGAATAGATT